CACGAGGAACCAGATTTTCAAAAACTGCTGGCAGCCAGGCCTACATGATGAATATAGGAGTCCTCCGAGTTCCTACGGACTCGAACGCACCTCAGCCTGCTCTCACTTCATGATGGAAAAGGCTCGGAGTGTGCTGATCTGTACTTCCTTCTCTTGTTGAATTGGTTTCTATCAGGAATGCAACCTGGGAGCCTGGAGCAGAAGAAAGTTACGGCAGGCTCTTGCTGCTTGCAATTTCCAAACCTTGATTAATTAACACTTACCATACCTATTTTCAGCATGAATGCTATCATCACATTTTCCTCATGAAAATTCAAAGAAAGCTTAAGAAAACAGTTTTTTTGATAAAGGGATAGATGAAAGTAGCAACTGTTTTGAATTAACTCTTTCAAGAGAGAAGTCTGCAACTTAAATGCTGTTATAAGATCCTTCCAAATTATGTACAAAATCTTTTGCACTCTCAAAATCTTCAGTGCCATCTCACTGTGTACAAAGAGGCACCATGCATTCCCGTCAGGCAGTGGGAAAGCACATGGTATGTGTTCACATAAAAACACAGGCCTGCAGAAGGCTGCTCATCATTAGGTCATGCCCTATAGCCATGGGCCACAGCAGAAATTCGGTTATATATACTAAGCATCTTATAGCCTGTAGAAGCAGATTATCGGAGGAAGAATAAGTTTCAAAAGAAAACACTGTTTAACGCATTTGAAGTCTGAAGCTTAAAGAAGAAATGCCAGAAAAGAAAACCCAACAACCAAATCTTCTAAACAGTTATTTCCAAGTGCAGTACCACAGAAACACGGTAGGCCAGAATGCTAATGTCGTCTGGAAAGGCCAGTCGAGGTTCTGACAAGTGCTTCTGTTCTATGGCTCAGGTGTCTCTGTTTTAATCTGTATATCAGTACAAGCTATAGAACAGCCCAAAGCCCAAACTTACTACCAGTACATCTTAAAATATGTGCAAATGAGGACTTCACGACCTGGACCAAGGACTAAAAATCTGAGTTCAAGAGAAGCAACTGTGGCATGGATCATGGCTGGCCACATCCAAAGTAAGTATGTAGGTACGTATACATGTATGCATGTATGTGTATAAATGATTGCACCTGGCTTTGTGGTGAGGTGCCTGCTGCCCTCCTCCTATGATTGAGTACACTTGAGAGGGCTGATGAGGGAGAGGAGCAGCTAGAGCCATCTTAGGCCACCTTGGAGAATTATGTTTCAACGAAAAAAGTACAGTTGACAGTTACTACCAGTGTGTACAAGCCATTACAAAAACACTATGAGGCATCCGCCTCTCTCAGAAAACAGGCTGTCATGTGCAGCATGTGACTCAAAACTTATGATGGAAAGCACCGTAAATGCAGAATGCAGCACAGTGTAAAACTGCCTGACTCACATCTGTCTCTGGTCCAAAATACTTAGGATGCAATTTACTCTGCATATGTATTGTGAGATATCCCGATGCACCCCAGAATTCAAACTGAATGTCCCAAACTGCATTGATTACTAAGAACTTGTTTTAACCATACACATAATTCATGTGCATGAATGCAAGCACTATGTCTATGTGCAAAGTCACAGTTTACATCCCTCCCTAGCCTCTTGCACTTGCATTAGGTGCTCAAGGTAGCAGTGGTCACCCTACGTTCCCTCAACAGCTAATGAACGCTGGAGAGAGGAGAGCTCTCACCTCGAACCAGCATCAGGAAGGCCCACCAGCTCTCTCCATAGTATGCAGAGGGAGCGTAAGAGCATTTACTAAGGCAGGCTGTAAGAGCACTTCTAAATAATATTAAGTTATTAAAGGTAGACACAGCAGTCTTTTCAAATTTAAATAACAGATAGTTTGTTCCACGCAACAAAGAAATGCCAGAGCTCTGAATGACGTTATGGATTATCCCCCTGAAGGAGACAGAATATTCTCCCTTTTATTAGAGAACTTTTCTATTAGAAGAGTTGATTTAGGAGAAACAACAACAACAAAAAAACAAACAACAAAAAAAAACAAACAAAAAGCAATTCTAGGCACTTTGCTCCTCTACTGGTTAAAACCTACTTAGACAGAAAGCAAACACAGTTGGACCCAAAGCTGCTTCTCTTAAACTCACAGCTCAAGCCAATAAAAACAGTGATTCACAGAGGCTGTAGCAGATGATACAAACGCCAAGCATCTCCTAGCTCTAGGACCAAAGACTTCTGACTCCGCAAACGCAGACGTCACAACCGTATCTCATCCTTCTGGATGTGTAAGCAATGACCTAAGAACAGGGTCCCAGAAAGAAAAGGTTTAAAATACTGTGACCAAACTGGTTCAAATCTAACACTTGCTCTGTTCTGTCTAGTGTACTAGATATAAGTCCTGGAAAGTTGCATGTTAAATTTTCCATAATAGGTTTTAATATAACACCACCCATTTTGGAGTGGGGAAGGGGTGAGAGAAAAGAAGGTCTATTAACCCTCTTCCAAATGCTATACTATCTTGCTACAGCTTCTTATAGATTTTAAGATCACAAGGCATCATTATAGCAAAGACTTCATTGGCACACGTTGTACCCGAGAAGAGGCAACCTAATTGCATATACAGCTGTGGAGCAAAGAGCTTTAGCAAAAGAAGGAGCTCTGGGGAGAAAGCAGGAGGCCAGGGTAAAGGGTTATGAAATAACAGGGTAACCTGACCAGGAGGAGGAATGAAGCATAGGGGAAGAGGTGAAGAAGCCAGAGTGGAGGTGAGAGCAGTGAAAGAAGAATAAAGAAATACGAAAAAAAAACGATGAGAGCAAAAGCAAGAAGACAAAACATACAGAAGAGAAGAATCTACATGAGGACCAGCAATTGTATAGTAAGGTCAGAAGCCAATTTTGCAAGAAAAAACTATTTTCTATAAGGAAGGAGCTTAAGCTTAGATATGAAATCGCCAAAAAAAAAAAAAAAAAAACTGTGGGAGAAAAAAAATAAGTAACTTCATATTTAAATTGCTTTTTTAGGCCACATGTCAACCCCCCTCCCTCCCCCCTGCTCAGAGTTTTCCCGGGATGGAATTTTCTTCTTCCCACTACAGGCTTTGGCATGGGCAGAGGCAGCACAGATGCCGCTTAACTCAGAAACCAAGATCCTGATTCATTCTTCCCTCAAATCTTGTGCTATCGTTTTCTCCGGGACTGAGTGAACGTCATAAGTTGCAAGTCAGAGAGAGAGATTTTTCCCAGCTTGTGCACTAAATCCAACTCTGAACCTCTGCCACTTCATCAAATACTTTTTTAAAAAACATTTTTTCCTTCTCCAACAGACTTAGCTCTAACACTCCTTTGTATTTTGACTGTACGCAGGGGGCAAGTTTTTCCCTAAGGTAAGAGCACGAATCATTTTTCAACTTCACACAGCAAAATCCTTTTCCTTGAAATGAATGCAATCAATCAAGAAACCCCTTGCTGAGCACACTCAGCAAGTCTGCATTATCATTTGCAAGCTTCCTTACATTTCAACCTATGGTACAATATAACCACTTGCTGTGTATCAGTTCAAGTATTCTCAAAATAAGCCATAATGAGTCAGATGATATAAAAGAAGCTATTCCTACAATAAGAAATAATGAAAGCTGAGGCCACTTTGAGGAAGAAAAAGTCCTTGCTTACTTCATTTTGGACTTTTAAACAAACAAAAGCTCTAACATTTTAAAAGGTTAGACACATATTTTACTCCCACTGTTTCTTAATAAAACACCATTTGCGCATACTTTAAAAACAAGCAAACGAGTAATTGATCCAACATGTTGGCAGTTTTCAAGAAATTTACTAGGCAAGAGCAAGTGATGCAGCTCAAGTTTTGAAATAGCTTGACTTCAGGGGTGCATAAGCATACTGTGCTTGCTTACTGCTGCCACTGCTTATTAAACAAGCTGTGATACTTGGAGCAACAAGAAGTATAATCTCAACAGCTACTGAACTACATGCAGGTTACAAAGCACAGTTTTAAGAAACGAGGAGGTCAGCAGTTCGTCTCACAAAACACATGGAAAAATACTAAAATAAAACACCATCCTCTACTGATCCCAGCAACAAAACATGAATTTGGCCAAATAAACAGCTAATCTCTTAAGAGGCTGCACACAGGAGGATGCAAAAGCATTACTTTGCATCAGACATGTTATAGCATTAGTAAGGCAACAAATTCTTTCTCAGCGCATTCATGCTAGTTAGTTTGCAGGGAACTTGAAAATGTTATTACAGTAATATCCTGTTTTGCAACCTTTCCATGCTTCAATTTACCCCCAACTCCGCTAAGATTCAAGTGGCATGAAACAGCTGGGCACGATTAGCTACTGGACCCAAACCAGGCAGAGATTTCACAATAGGTGGCATTTTAGTCTCCATGGAATAGGCTGGTGGCATACAAGACCAATGACCCCTGGCAGAAAACCCTGCCCCTAAACGTAAATCCGGCAATCTGTTCCTAAAACAACATTATTTTCAGATGGGACACTGCTACAAAAACAGTGGGTTGTCCGGGGACACAACTGGAGGATGGGGTGCTTTCTAACATTTGGACTTCAGTGTGGTCCAAGCTAACCCCAAGACCCCATGCAGCTCACGTGGGGAGATGAGCACCCCTTTCTAGGCAACACAGCCCACGTCCGCACCGCATCTGACCCTCGGCATCCCTCCCCAGCCCCATGGCCTCTACACAACCACGGAGAGGTGAGAGCAGGCTCTGTGTTCCCTATTTTATCGCACCTCCCTCCCGATAACCACATGCCATAAGTGTGGTGCTTCTCCTCTCCGAAGGTCTCGCTCACACCCATCCCATACGGCGCCTGCCGGAGGACCCCTGGGCCAGGGTCCCTCCATGCCTCCGAGCGGCCCCAAGTTCACAGCTCCCAAACTTTTCCATGCGCACCCGCCGGGGACCCCCGCCAGGGGTGGCGAGGCCCTGCGAGGAGGTGCGAGGCGGCAGGAAGCACCGCCAGGCGTCGAGGCGCGCACGAGGCCGCCGCTCACCTGCGTGGGGCATGGTGATGGTCTCGTTGGCGTTGCTGGAGCCCACGTTGTAGATGACCACGGCGGAGGCGTTCTGCGCGGCGGCGTGGCGGATCTTGTCGCGGTAGGTGCAGTTTCCGCGCGGGATGAGGGCCACCCAGCTCTTGCCCGGCGCGGGCGCGTTGAAGCGCGTGGCCGGGTCGCACGCGTAGCGGTCGGCGGG